GTCATTGTCTTCTCTTCATTCTTCCCCACGTCATTTGTTTATAGTGTAACACAAACCTTATTCCATTGTACAGGTCTGAATCAAACAACGACCCACAGTCCGAGGTCCAAACCTAGCTCATTGAAATAGATAACGAGATCGTCATCCGGATACAGTACCTTTCGTAGCTATATAGAAGGTTAGTTAATTAGTTTTATTTTTTCTTTTCTTTTTTCTCTCTTTTTTTTTTTTAATTAAGTTCAGATAGTATATATATATATATTGATATTGGGGACAGAAGCTGATGCACAAATTTTCTTCAAAATTTGAGCACATGATAATTTACTGACAATGGGGTAAAAACTATAGGAAGGCAACATGGGGCCATCCAAACCAGAGGATATGGCTGTAACAACAAAACAAGCTCCCATAACCAATAATCTTCCATGGTTGTAGGCTAGTCCAGAAACCAACACCTTTATCATCACTACAATACTCACAATTCTTTGGATCCCCATAGGCTTCATTTTAGCCTGATTAAGGATTGCAGTTTCACTCCTGCCGATGCCAATGGTCAACTGTGCAATATGATTTCTTGAGACAGCTAGCACGCATCGATCTCATCTTCAGAAAAAATGGGCGATGCTCATCTCAATCCATATATGTGCACGAGTGTGGGTGACAGAGGAGCCTAAATGGATCCCATTTCCAATTTTTCACGTAGTTAGACTGAGCTGCAAGTCTGCTTTGCTGTGATTGTAGGTTTTACTCTATCTATCTAGGATACTTGGCTCAGTCCTGGTGTCTTCATTTAGACGTACATTCGTTCTTCTTCAGTGCTCAATTTGTCCAAGTGCACATGCAGTAAGTAGAGATCAGATTTAGTTTCAGAAGGCGAAGGCGGCTCATGACAATTTAAAATCTGGTATTTTTGGTGATATGATTGCTAATCTTCGCCAAAACCTCATTATGAATGTGTTTGGGGTTAAACTTAATTACAATTGCAAATAAATAAATAAAATACAATAATAATAACAAACAGGCATTATTGGAATTTTCAAACAGACCACGCAGATGTGTCTTGAGACTTTTTTAGCATAGCTAGCAATTTAGGCCTTTTTTTTATTGAAAATCTGAGACAGTGCATAAAAAAAATTATACCTTCTCACGGTGTATTAAGTCAGATTGAATTAGAAAAAGATCAAAACCAATCATTACAGTTAATTAATAAAGTATGAGCACTTCTTTTCTGTTTTCTCATCTTTCTTTCTTTCTCATTTGTAGATATTATGGACGAAATTTCACACCTATATATATATATATATATATTTCTGGTCTGGTTAAGTTTTGTGAAATTATTGGCTTGTGAAAAGAATTGTAGTTTGACCGTTTTGTTATAGAAATTAAAAGCTGAAGTTATCAACATTTTGATGAATAATTGGAAGAATTTTAGTATTACGTGTGTGGGGGATTATGCTTTTGGTGTTTGACTGAATAAGGTTTTGATGGAGGACAGTATGAGATGCTCTGGCCTAGGCTACCATATAATGAGAAGGAAGCTTAATCAGTGTCCAAATTCAGCCCTAAACTTTGAAGAGCCACTACCCTTGGTCACTATTAAAATGCTTGGGTAGTTGGTCTTGATAAAATAAATGGCTCTAGTGGTTCTAAAGAAAGCTGATACTGTGAGATCCTTCTTGAAATCCCAAATTGTTAGCAGAGGTCAGTCCTTGAAGAGCACAAACAAGTACAGCAGTTCTCTGATGCCTAAAACATGGAAATTTTTTAAGTACAGGAGGACCACCATGTAGTCTAGTAACGTGGGAGTTAGGAAAACCTGCTTCCAGGAGAGAAACATCTAATGTACTATGCCACTACCAAAATACCAGATCACCGTGTGATTATCGACTTGTCCTGTTGCACATCTGATGATATGAAACATGGGTGCTAGAGGATCGATTTTGAGTTGCAATATTTAAATAGAAAATCTAAGTTAGTTGACTACTGCTTCATCACAGAAGCATGTCCTGAGGAAACATGTTTTGGAATTTTTTGAAGATCAGGAAAGAGCTTAAGATTACTTTAATCATTTCAAAACCTTGGAATAGTATTATAATGCGAGAAATCTTGTTTTCTTATTGAATACTTTAAAAGCAACTAAGGACATCATAATTCAAACACTTATCTGCTTTTCAGCACTACAATCTGTAAAGCGAAAAGAAGACAAAAAAAGTAAAGGCAGAACAGAGATCCTAGACCAACTACCAACTCCATCTGTCTCTCCCTAGTTCTTGACTTCTAGTCCTGGTACTAATTGTCAAAAAAAGTTCATTTCCTGCAAACCAAACTCGTTTTCTACTTTCCCAAAAAATCTCTTGCCCTCAGTTATCAGTCTAGACAAAATGGCTTGTTGGCTGTTACGGCTGGTTGTTGTGTTAACCATCATAACAGTTGGAGAGGGGAAGCAAAATGCTCCCCAAGTATGCCACCCCAATGACCTGAAAGGTCTAACTAGTTTCAAGGATGGAATCCACGTCGATACTTCTGGCCGGTTGGCAAAGTGGATTGGTCATAGTTGCTGCAGCTGGGAAGGCATTACCTGCAATCAAATGACAGGCAGGGTGACTGAAATCCGTCTTCCAGGATTCATTTCAACAAATGATTTCCTCTTCCAATCTCAGATGACAGGGTTGCTGTCTCCTTCATTAACACTCGTGAGCTGTCTCGAAGTCATGGATCTTGGCGGTCTAACAGGTCTTGCTGGCAGAATCCCACCATTAATTGGTTTGTGCCTCCCAAATCTCAGAAAGCTGTATCTATATGGAAACAAGCTCAGCGGTCCAGTACCCGATAGTATCGGTAAGCTGTCAAAACTCGAAGAACTTCACCTGCATGAGAATAGATTGTCTGGTTCTCTCCCATCAAACCTCGGTAACCTTAAAAACCTTAACCAGCTACTTGTATATTCAAATGAACTAACTGGTATGATACCTGATTCGTTTAAAAACTTGACAAACATGAAACAAATGGATCTTCATAGCAACATTCTGACTGGTCATATACCAGACAGGATTGGTGAAATGCAGATATTGGAAAAACTCGATCTTTCAAAAAATCTCTTGAGAGGGAAAGTTCCGCTTTCATTAGCAAACTTAAATGCCATCTCAGAGATGTACTTGGATACCAATCATCTAGAGGGTGAGATCCCATTTCCATCAAGTTTTGGCCAATTGTCTTCACTTTGCTTTCTTAGACTGAATGATAACCATCTAACTGGAAGGATACCAACCAATTTTGGAAACATGGTTTCTCTTCAAAGAGTGTCCCTGGCAAATAACAAGATTGAGGGAGTGATTCCCTCTAGTTTGGGCAATCTGTCAGCTTTGACAGAATTGTATCTGTCTGGCAATCTATTATCCGGCCAAATACCAAAATCAGTCGGTGAACTCTCTCAACTCATCATGTTCAATGCATCTCACAATCGGATTCAAGGACCACTGCCTCAGGAGTTGTCTTCCCTTCAAAATCTTCAAACACTAGATTTGTCATTCAACCAATTTAACCTCATCTCCTTCCCACAGTGTCTAGCTGAATTGCCATCCCTTTCCCGGATATACCTTGCTGGATGTGGAATCCAAGGCGAAATTCTAGACTTTTTGCAAGCAGCTCCTAGTACAATACAGGAGTTGGACTTGTCCGCTAACCATCTCACTGGAAGCTTGCCAGCATGGCTAGGGAGCCTTACTCAACTCTACAAATTAAACCTTTCAAGGAACTCACTTGTTTCAAGGATCCCTGATTCAGTTACAAATTTGCAGCAGTTGGGTTTGCTTGATCTCCATTCAAACAAGCTAACAGGCCCAATAAATAATGTTTTTCAGATAGGAAATGCTTTTTCTGAGGGTTCATTGACTTATATTGATCTATCCGACAACTATTTCTCTGCCGGCATTGCGCAAGCTGGAGTAGGCGCACAAACTGGGGTTCAGTACCTGAACTTGTCCCATAATTTTCTTAAAGGGCGTGTAGCAACAACCATAGGGAGATTGAAATCATTGCAGACATTGGATTTGAGCTGTAACAAGCTAGGTTTCAACTTGCCAGAGGCTTTCGCAAATGTGAGCTCGTTAGAGAAGCTGAAGCTGCAGAAAAACCAATTCACTGGCAGAATACCAGTTGGATTTCTGAAGCTGAGAAAGCTGAAGGAACTGGATTTATCAGATAATCTTCTTGCGGGGGAAATTCCCGAGGGGAAACCGTTAAGCAACTTTCCCCAGAGTTCCTATTCTGGAAACAAAGACTTATGCGGAAAGCCTCTTATTCCTTGTAAGGTAGAGGTTTAATTTTAGATGGTTGAAGAACCTCTAAAACCAGTCAATTTGTTCAATTGACCCATGAAGTAAAATGAATTCCATCATTCACTCCCTCTTAGAAATTGGTTCAAACTGAAATCCACTAAATTCATTAGCAGGACTATGAATATTTATATTTGAGAAAGGCAAAACTTGGTGTCATTACAAGAATCATCAAGACATCAAAGGTTTAAGAGAGATTTTCTTCAAATTGTCACATTCCATGTGTTTTCTTATCAAAAAAATTGTGGCCACGTTTAAGGTCACGCCTACAAGTATATCATCTGAACTGGTTTGGTTTAATTCCCAGAAATGAACAACTCAATCATATAAACATTTATCATATCCTTCTGGTATACATGATGAATGATTTGTATCCTTAGCTCAGACTTATGCATGACCTTGGAGTCCATCATGTATCCTGGAATAGACTTGAAGAGCATACAATCACCAGTAATTTATTAACATGAGGTTGGACGTTACAGATAAAAATGTTGATTATTGAAGCAGTACCTACAATGATGTAATCCAATAAGATTTATGTGTGTGCGCACGGGAGCGCACACTACACTTTTGCCTGTGGTTGTTGAGATTGTGTATTAAAAGGACTGAATGAAACTGAAATTTCTCTAAAATCTACCCTTTATTAGATCAGAAGCCTTACATTGTTTAACCACTTTCAAAGGGCTCTTGATTTAACCCCAACTGGTGGTACTTCATGTAATCAATTCCATTTAATCTTATACAACACAAGATCTGCTCTGGCAACTCTTCAACTTTGTTCCCCTGTTAGAAAACGAGAATCTCTTCATGAATTCAACTCCACAAACCACCACATAAAACAGGAGATAGATTCTAAATCTAAAATGTTTTCAATTTCTTTATTCTTGAAAAATAACACATGGATACTCATTAAAAAGAAAAGTATGCTTACCTGAATTGTGAGGCCAACATCTAACACACAAATTTTAAGCCTGTCTAGGAATGCTTCAAAACCTTTCCTAGAGATATAACCAAACCTATGCATATCGATGTCAATCTCGAAGTAATTATGTCCCTGCAAAAAAGTACAAAAAATTCCCTACTATATAAGAAGGAAAGAATTATAAAACCATCTGGTACTGTTTCTTATCTAGTTTAATACAGCTACTTAGACTGCTGGTATTACATTCTGGCCAACTGTAAAAATAAAAAGATCACTTCTAAACATAGTAGCAGAATAGAAACTGACGCATCCCAGTGCAGAAATGGCCCTTACACGTCAGAATACAGTAAAATCAATAAATCACTTTTGTTTGCCAACAACGAAGGTACTTTAATACAGTTGTCAACGATGATCAAGTACCAGCAGCATATTTTGCTTTGACATAATCAAGACAACAGCAAATTGTATGTCGATAATCAATACATTAAATGTCATGTTTTAAATCAAAATAAATAGAATGGAGTTAAAAGACCAGTATAAGTTGTTGGACAAGAACATATACCAAGTAAAACTCATGTTGAGGACGTGAAAGAACAGGTTTCTCATTGTAAGCCTGCATGAGCTTCCTTTCTGCAGCACTTAAATGAAGATCTTCCACATTTACAACACGGCCCAATATCTTCAACCTTTCTCGAAAGGGTGCAATTGTATCTAGAGGAAACCCTTTGACTTTTTCAACTTCATCATCAATTAATCGCTGTTTTAAGAAGGATTGTGGATATGAAACAATAAGAACAAGATTCTAAATCATTTGATAATCAAGAAACATAAAACAAAAGGCAGTGAAAAGTAAAAGCAGCATGCCTCGTATTAAGGTCTTGTACAAGTTGACATATTAAAATAAAGAAAACAGCACACCAGCAGAAAAAGTCTTATTCTTTTTCCCTTTTTCAGCATCACCGCCAATGATAACAAGCATCAGACAGGTTTATACATATTCTGAAGTAGTAATTTATGATAAGAGATTAAAAAGAAATGTCCATCTTACTCTGATACTTTCTTGAAAGTGGGTTGGAATTTCCTTTGAGTAACTATCAGAAAGCTTAAAATACAAAACAAAATTTGTTCCTTCTCCGTCAATTTCATTCTGAAAAATTGCAGCAGGATACAATGGAACCTGCAGAACCCACAATGAAGTTAGCAAAAATAAATAATACAAGCAAACTAAGAACCCAAAAAAAAAAAAAAAAAAAAGAGAGAGAGATTTTCATTCTCCTTTAACTACATTGTGGGCAATTCCCGAATAACTGCATCCGTTTACTGACAGAAAACATGGAATTACCTGAACATTTACAACAAGTATAGGTGGGACATTCCCAGCAGAGTTGATAACAGGGAGGTCCACAAACCGAGCTATATGATCAATTTTTCGTGGAGATAAGAATACATCAACACCAAAGGGATAATATGCAGCACAGTTAGAAGCAAATTCCTTCTTCTTCTCCCTGCCATATGGGAAAAAGAAGATATTTTCAGTACGAAACAATTTTGATTGTGTGAGATCACACTCTATCATGTCTACAATAAATGCAACATTATTATTAATGGACAAAAGATTATAAATACTGTGTGAGATCTCACTGTATGAAGTCTACAATAAATGAAACAATCATTGACTGACAAAAAAAAAAGGGGTGTAAATACAATGTTTGCATCAAAATTATACTTTTACATATGCATTTGGAACTGTGGCAATAAATCAACTCAATTCCATCAGCTTAGTTTTACCTGAAATAATTCTGTCCTCGAACTTTGAAACTGCATGGCTCAATATGTGACCAACAATCAAGCATTTTCTTTTCCATAGGGCAAAAGGGTACTTGGGAACCTGCTATTGGTCTATGCAGAATCATCTTTGAAGAAACTGAAACCATAAAGAAGAAAACAAATAAAGAGGTCATTATACATGTAATTGTACTTTTATTAGGGGCAAATGTGCTTTTTGATGTATTACACGATACACAACCTCTACTAATACAAATTAGGAGGAGCATTGATTTGTAAATTCCTTTGGGATAAACATTAACCACACATGACAAGCATCGTAAGCTTCATAACTAGACCAAGTGTCGCAAATTTTTCCCATAAAAACAAACAACCACTGCACATACTGCCTGCTCTTGGCAGTTTTAGTTTATATCCTTCTCAAATAAGGTATCTCTAACATCAAATCGTCAATTCTTAAGCCCAACAATCAAAGGCAAATGTAAATCACAGCCCAGTGACACAGAGTTTCATGGAAGTGCATTTTAAGAAATAAATGAAAATGAATTTCCAATGAAGGAGTGCAAGTACAACAACGTTATTGACACATCAGCAAATCAGGTTACACATGTAACATAGGTGAGTAGACTGGGAATGTAGTAAAAGAGTATAAAAATCTGCAGTATTTGCCTCCTGCAATATGGTATTTTGTTACATAAACTCGTATTTATAAGCCTAAAAGCTCACCGTGAAACTCCATGGGGCGTCGACACTTATGCTCTAGTTTCTTTAAAAGAACCAAAACAATTGCAAGGAAACCAACAAGTTTGCAAACATGTATGATGATTGGAAGTATTGTCCATCTTAAAACAACGCCAAATAAGAAATTATATAATTACTGAAAAAAATCAACATGAAAGAAATTTTACAAAAATAGAATGATACTTTTTGACTTTCAGCAAGTAACAGTAGGAAGCAATTTCATAAAGCGCAAAACAGGATCAGCAGTTGACACTTCTCCAAAATACTATTCAATTTGTTGCTTTTATTTTGCAAACAAGATTTGTAGCGTGGAGGAATGTAAGGTAAAACCTGATCAGTGAGCTAAGATTCACACCACTTACTCAAATAACAAAAGCCGGAAGAGATTAGTGAGTGATTTTAGGCGAGAGAAGTGTCAAAAACTCCCAACATATGCAAGCTAAATATTGGGCACAACATCTGCTATTTTATTAGATCCACATACAACTTGATACCATGCTTCTTTGAAAATTTAAGTAGCATATTTAAGCTATTAAATAGACATATTAGCAAGAAATAGTTCAAATTTGCTAATCCTTAACTCAACCTCAACCCCAAAAGCTGAAATCTTTGGAATCTAATCTATAACAATGACAATCACATTCTCATATGATCAAGAGAGTTTCAATAAGTTTAATGACAAGAATGATAAATAACAACAATGCACATGAATTGTGATTACTTCCTTTGCCTCCAAAATAATGTTGCAACTGTGAGAAGTCGGCAGATACAGTACTTACATAAAGTGTTACTAGAATGCCCTTCCTTCCACTTGAATGGTAGTTTTAAGGCACCCTTTTTCCTTGCGCTTGGCGGACTGGAGCTTAGCGATCTTCTCTTTTCAACAGATGGGACGGTTGAAGCAAGACAAGGTAAACAATTGCCTGGAAGAATTCCACAATTGTCTAATAATCCTTCTTCAGCAGCATTTTCATCCACTGAGGTGATTTCATCAAGGAACACAGGTTGCTTTACTTCATTTGAAATTCCATCAGATTTGGATAGGGAATCAACATAACCTGGATGGAGGACCTGAATATTTGTTTGTTTAGTAACCTCACTAACAGAGTCATCTGTGGAATTTCCTGCAGACAAACCCCCTGCCTTCAGCATCTGATCAGTGGAGGAGGAATGCTGCATATTGACAATACAGTCTCCATGATTGGCAACTCTGCCAGATGCAATACTTGACAGTGATACACCTTCAAGTCCATTTAGAGATAAGATATCTGTAGATGATGAACGCATCCATAATTAGCAAAAACCAATCTCTGATTAATCAGCAAAAGCAGAATGAATAACCAACATTCATATGAACAATAGAAATCAATATCCTCATTTTACCATCTGGAACACTTTCAAAATCTTCGTCACAATCAGACTCAAATATAGCAGCTGAGTCAAACCATGCCTCCTCAATGCTTCCTGCTGCAAATTGCAGTTTAACAAAATCAGGCACATAGCTATAGTAGGTTAAAGAAGGAAACAATGTCCGCAATTAAACATGATTTTTAAAACAACATTTCATCATGAATTAGACAAGTTACCAGAAATGAATGTTCAACTTATCAAAAGTGCACAGGATTGAAAAATAAATATTATCATATTATAAGAAAAACGACAATCCCTGAAAGTTTCAGTAACCAGAGAATTATCAATACTTATTTGCTGCATCATTGGACTTGTGCAAAATCATCAACTGAGTAACATTGCAAATCCTCCCCCATTTAATCTTTTGTCCTCTACAGCATAAAGTCTACAAGAAAATAAGCTAGCACCAATTAACTGAAGAAATATTTTATGGACCAAAGATAATTCTAATGTTGATTCAGGATCAACTAGGAGCTAATATATAGAAATACCATTCAGTATTTAGATACTAAAGGAAATGGCCATTCTCTGTTAGAACAAATGCATTTGTTAAAAAGGTAATTGCTCAAGCTCATGCAGAGCAAAAGAAAGAACATGGTACTAATCAGAAAGAAACCACTGGAACAGTCTATTGGGAAGCCCCCAATTTGCAATGTAGTCCAATAATTATCAACAGGCAACATCTGAACCAATCATTGGCCAATCTTCTTCTTGTCAAGAAGATCAGAGAACAAAAGGTAGCTCCAAGGTTCGGCATTTAAACCCACTCAAATGTCCATATCCACCTCTTAGGCTCTCGTTAATCATCAAAAGAATTAGGAATATAAAAATCATATTTCAACATCAATTATTTCCCAAAGTAATTGAGCTCGTATTCATCTGAAGTGCCTAAAACATCTATTATTGCACAAAGGAAATGAGTTTGCATTCATCTGAATTGCCTAAAACATCTATCATTTCCCAAAGTAATTAAGCTTACATTCAACCGACGTGCCTGAAAGATTAAATCAGGGTAGAAAATAGCAGTGAATTACTTCCATATATGCCGGAAACCTTGAAGTTTAAATAAAGAACATCGTCCCTTTTATCATTGTCATTTATCAGTAACACACATCATGATATGAAAACACAAAAAACCAAAAAAAAAAAAAAAAAAAAAGGAAAAGGGCCACTTGCCTGCATTTCATGCAAACAGATTAGCCATGCACCCCTACATCATTATTACTGTCTAAACCCCAGAAAGAAAATAAAAATTCCAAACCCAAAATGTAATCAGCAACAAACAAATCAGGATATCGCCGAAAGCCCAGCAAATAAATTTAACCCAAAAGTAAAAATCAACAGTAAAATGCCGGTAAATGAAATCAACAAAAAGAAAAAGAAAAACAGAGAGACGGAAGTCAAAAAGAAGAGAAGTTGTTGGCATAAAAGATGGAGGACGGACCGTGAAAAGTGGGGTTGGTGAAGGAAGGAAGATGAAGAGGAGGAGCAGTAGCAGAAGGGCCATCAGACTTGCCATCAGATAATGTTCTAGATGGCGGCACTGATCTTCTCTTGACAGAAGTACATCTCTTGCCTTTCCTGCGTATCTTCATCTTTTTTGAAGACCTCAATCTGCCACCTACACACCCCTCTGGAGTTGACACACAGGCCCCCATACCTTTCTCTTCTCTGCCTCTCAAAGATCAAAAAAGAAGCATCTTCAACAAATTTAGGATTAAGCACATAGGAAGAAGAAGAAAGCGAGATCAAGGTAAATAACAAAATATAACAAAGTTTGAGCAATAATAGGAGATCGCTTCTTCTGCCTTCACAAGTACAAGTAGTCCCCCAACTCTCTCAAATATATTACTACTATTGATTTAAAACAACCACCAAACCACCCCACCATAACCATTTGTTTTCTTTTTCTTTTTCTTTTTTATCTTTTAATTTCACATAAATGAATTACTCAAATTTCCTATTCTTTTCTTTTCTGAAAAAAGCCATAAATAAATTGCTAGTTTTGCCTTTTCCACATGTAATCAGTTTTTTTCTTTTTAAATGCTGGGAATATTATTATACCGGTTGTACCAAATCTGTTTTTCAAGAAAATCTGTAAAATGTATTTCTGACTCAATATTATGTACTCAAAAAATAAAATTTTCTAAATATTGATTTAGATTCGATTACATTTTCTTAATCACAAGCTACCCTTTACATTGAGGAAACGGTGAAGGGACGGGGGACAAGCTGTGACGGCAGTTTATGTTGTCCTGCGTTGGGCATCCATTATGGGAACTGGGATCCACTTCATGATATTCAGCCACGTGGATGAACATCATTAGCTGGACGTGTGGCTTTTGTGTTGATCAAAACAAGAGAGGGAGGAGTGGCAGAAGAGTGCGACGTTGTTCGAGTTCGTGGACCTGCTGCTACGGTACATTGGATTGGTATTTGGTGGTGGTGTTTACGTTTGTTCGTTGTTTTTTCTCTTCTTTTTTGGACCACCGTTTGGACCCACTCTTGTTTTCTTTGCTTCAAATTTCGATTTCGATTTCGATTTCTCAAGCTCTGTGTGTGTGAAAGTGCACGATGCGATGTCTCGTTCCAGAAAAGCGGTGGAGGTGGAGCCAAAACAGGTTGTACCAGACTGACTGCGCGCACAAAATTTGATGACAAATACAATAACGTCGGCCATAATTCGTCATTTTCAATTTTGCCGTGTTCGTATTTTTCTTCGACTCTGTCATTCTTCTTTTGGATTTGTATTTTTGTTAAGGTTTTGTTCCTTCTCTGTAATTTTGATATGCTAGATGTCACTTGTCAAAAAAATTGCAGGATAAAACTACACATACAAATTTGAGAATCAAAGATAAAAAGAAAAGAGAAATAAAATACCCCCAAATTTGAATGTTAAATAAATTAATTAAAATTATAGGAAAAAAGGTTGGTTTTTTTTTCAAATACCATAAATTATATGAAAATTTAAATTATTAGATGAAGTATGAACCTCTTTTTCCTAGTATTGGGTTTTTAAAATTATAAATTAAAGTAATATATTAAATATTACATAAAATCTTCCAAACATATTTTTCATTACATAAATAATGAAAAATTATAAAATGGATTATAATGCACTTTATTTAACGTTGATTTGACGAAATTACAATGCATAATTTGTAAGACTGTTAATATTTATTTTAAAACATTTTTATTGATTCAGCTACATGTTACTTTCAAAGGGGGAAAAAAATTTATAAATCTAAAGTTAGCTGTTTAAAGTCAAATGTCAGGCCATCTAAAAAAGGAAAACTTGTCAGATTTTTAATAAATATGTTTAATTAATAATTTTGAAAAGACAGTACATTTGAAGAAAAAAATAAAATAAAATTTCTACACAAATATAGCACACATATATGCCCATAAAACATGTTAGTGTTTAAACAACGTGTTTCTTTTATTTTATCTATCCAAAGTATATGGTGTTTATCAATTTCTTTTATTTGTCAATAAGATCCTTCAGTCTATGTTTGTTAAAAAAAAAAATAAATAAACGGAACATACCTTTTATTTTGTAAACTTCAAAATTTTCTTCCAAAATATGGATATTTTTTTCAATTAATTTTTACAAAAACTTTTTCACATTGTTCATTTTAAGATAAATATAAAAATTTGATTTGAAAGAAAATTCACTTAAAACAAGATCACCAAAATATGATAAATATGAAATTTAATCAAAAAAAGAAAATACAACGCCAAATTCATTAAAATAGTTTAATAATATTCAATCAATTAAATTATAAATTAATGAAAAATAAAAATCCAAATGTATTTGAAAGTGAATTAATAAAAATAATCTTATACATAAATTTAACATGAGTTATATATATATATAACTCAAGTAGATTGATATCACCAAGCTATCCATGAGGGCAACAAAACCGCAGAGTAAAAGAATTAGGTATGTGTTAATTTTATTGACGAAAAAAAACAAATTTTGATTCAAATAAAATCAAATTAGTATGTTTATTTTTTAATTTTTTTCTGAAATGAAATAAATATATAAAAATTATTTATTACATTTTAAGTGAAGTTGGGATATTTAATGATTTTAATGGTTAAATTAATTTTAAAAAAATTATGTGATTTTTTTATTCTTTTTATTGATTAAAATTCATATTAACTATATTTTTCATGAATTTACTTTCAAGATAAAATTTTGTATGTATGTTTAAATGGATCACATGGAAAAAAATTAGAGACTTGATTGATAAACTAATCATGCTTTTGGAGGAGATGAAGTTGATACAACCGAAAGCTATTTTTTTATTCTTATTGATAAATGAGTGAAATATTATAAGTATGATTGATAAAGAACAATAATAAGGATAAAAATTAATAAAAGTCATATAATTCAAGGATTAAAATAAAATGCATCCTAAAAACACTAGATGAATTACGAAAAAAAAAATTGACTACCATTCCCATGGAAGCGGGCACCATTGACTAGGTGTACATGCAAGTATTGTCGCACTGAAAATAATGAATTCCTTTATGAATAATTAAAGACAGGCAATAAATGACAATGTGCGTGGAGCACATGAATTGTCACGGGACCCATGCCTCCACCATGGCGAGTCTTCTAATTAGTTTGACTTTTGACCATGTATGTGATTTTTCCTCTGCCTCGCAAATTTGAGGTTGAGGATTTCACGAACTAAATTCCAGCAAAAGTATCAAAAAGCAGCAAGAAATTTCATACAATACGTGATAGCATATGATTCAATGACTATCGAGGTAGAATAGGACCTTTAAAATTCATTTTCACGGGGCCTGTTAAGAGAATTTTGGTCAAAAAAATCATACTCATCATTATAGTTATCGAAAGATGATTTATAAAATGTGTTTTTTCACAAAATAAGCCCATTTACATTAATTCTGCATATAAAATAAAAGATAAAAAATAATTAATATTTCCTTGGAAACATAAAAAGACGTAGGGATTCGTACAAGTCAAACCTCAGTATAGTATAGTGGGTTTCACGAGTCAGTCCTATGTAATTTTGTTAGAAATAGCTTAACCAATCAGGATTTAACTAGTTGATCCCTGCTGTTTCTTTTCGTTAAAGCCACGCCGAACGTTGGTGAGAGTTAAGCTTCCTTCGTTGAGAGAGATATCTTGACATGGAAGAAGGCAATATTACTATCGTCGAACAATAGTTAATTAAGATGCACAAGGTTTTTGGCTACCAAAACTGCTCCTTTCTAAGCTATTATTATGCTAATTTCTTCTATAGATTCAGAATCATTAAGAGTCCGAAGAAGTTTGATTATCTTTAATAGGTCGTAGTTTTGATTGAAGGGAATCTAACTGATCTTTAATTAGGTGTGGTAGGTACAAAATAGAAATAGAAGAATCATAATAAAATTTAAGTTTCATTAATACTATGCTTGGAACAATAATAAATAATTAAAATAAAATTTAAAATAATTAATATTAATTTTTAAGATGAAAAAACAATAATCTTAAAAAACATGACTATCAAGGATGGTGGTCATTGTGTGGCAGTGGCAGCACCATGGTAGTGGTGGCGAAATCATTAAAAAAAAATTGTTAAAATCATAGTAATAATAATAGAATGGTAATAACAATAACAATAATAAAATTTTCAGAAAAAAATTAAAATGACATTGAAAGGAATGGTTGTTTAGGTGACAGAAGTTGCAATACTTATAATAACAACAATTTCAGATAATATCATTTCCATCGTGTAATGGATGAACTGAGAGGGCAACATTGTCTAATGTACGTTACATTTGGAACAAATTAATAAAATCAAAAAATTTAAGATTCGATTGATAATAGAGTAATATGTGAGGGACTAGATCTGAGTTTTTGTTTTATTGTTCTTAATCACACGAGAATCACAACCAAAAGAAAATAGAAATAAAACATCGGAGTACCTATTATTGAAAGGTCGAGGCATGGGGACGAAGAATAACGCTATATCCTTTTGGTACAACAGTTTCAAAGCAACGTATCGGAAATGTATATATATATATATATATATAACCGATTCGCAGTGCCGGTTTTCTAAAAGGGGCGTTTTAAGTTTAACGCAACATCTTTCTAACCGACTTTGGATTGGAATCAATAATCACCATGCAGTAGATTGCTTGCTGTGCTGTGTTAAAAACTTAAAAATTAATCGGAGAAGGAAAGGTAAAAAGTAAAAGTAAAAAGTATGTTTTGGGCATCCATCATCAGCCAGCATTGCCCATGAAATTAATGCTTCATGAGAGCACGAAAGTGAGGATATGATTTCCTTTTCCGAGAAAAACTAACTGCAACATAAATAAATGATGTTTGCAACAAGAGTATATTATATTATACTACTGTTACACTTCCACACGTCTATGTTTAATTAATGCTCTTGTTGCCTATCCTAACTTTTTAATCACTCAAACTTAAATGCAGCAACCAATAAAATAGTTAATTAATCACAAAGGCTTTATATAAGAGATGCCTAAAAATAACAAGTAGCGTAACGGTTAGATTTGATTTCAAAGTACTTTAGTTTATGAAGTTACCATTTTATACTGTTTACGAGGTTATTATTATGCAAGGAAAAAAGATATTCCTCATCAAGGTATTAGGAAGAAATTTAGAATAATTAAAACATAACTATCAATATTACTAAACGAATCCACTTTGAAAAAAAATAAAATAAAGATAATTATAGAGTGAAAAAAAAATCACTTCTGAATATAAAATATTTTCATATAGTTTTAAAATTATTTTTTTATTTCTCTCTTCTTTTCATACCTATTAAGTAAAAATTAATAATTATTATTTTAATGCTTTTAAATTTTTATTTCGTAGGTACTATGAATTCCGGATCACAAGTTAACATTCAGTTTCATTTCTTTTTTAAAAAAAAAAAAAAATTGAATATTATTATCTAGGAAGCCTACCAAACAGGGAACCCATTAACCAAAACATTAAATATGAACAACCGATAGGGTTGATAAACAATCTACGTTTTTTTTCAACCTGCTCTTTTATGATTAAAAAAAAAAAATCCCTTTTGAACAATTTTATTTTATCTTCGCGCTCTTATGTTTGATCTGAACAGCTGCTTGATGGTCAAACGTTTTAGGTGAAGACACAATCTTGTCTGAGTCCAGACTCCAGTGTGTAATAATAGCTGTAAATCCATTAGTTGGTAACCTACCGGCTACCAGGGTCCTATTCCATCCCTTTTTTTTTTTTTTTTCCCGCATAGGAGAGTACATTTCTTATCCCTAATTCTTCACTCAAGCATTCCGGTAGCCAATTGTCATATATGTTGCTGCTTTTATTGTCGCGCTTATTAAGCTTAATGGTTATCGTGTTTCTTTTATTTTTATTTTTGTCTTAAATTTATTTTTTTATATTTGGTTTCTATCTTAATTTTATATCTTTCTTAATTTTTAAACTAACAGCATTAACTTGTTTTTTTTTCTGTTTTAATTTCATCTCTCTATTTTATTTTTTGTCTTAATTTTTTCTTCGTCAAAATTAAATAAATATTTTTTAGAAAGTAAAAAAAAATAGAAAAAAATATGAAAAAAATATATAGTTGTTTTCTCTAAAAATAAAAAATAAAAAAAGTGAACCTAAAAATATTTTTTTATCTAAAATATCTTTTATGAGCTTAAATTTGTCTGCATAATAATAAGCAAATTTTGAGTATAAAATAAAATATTTTTAATATTTTTAAAAAAATATATAAAAAGATTTTTAGTTAAATTTTAAACTTTTGAATGGTGTTTAAAATTTTATAATACTTCAAAAGAGTCTATTATAATGTACTTGTTTTGATTTTACAATTTTTTTTTTAATTTTAAAAGTTTAACTAAAACTCTATTCATATTTTTTTAAAAAATACTATAAATATTTTATCTTATACTCAAATTTTTCTTATTATCATAAAAATATTAAGTCTATAACACATATTTTAGATTTTTTTTTTATTTTTACTTTTTTTAAAAGAAAATGACTAGATATATCTTCATTTTTTAAAAAAAAATCATTTATTTATTAGAAAAGAGAAATATAGTAGAGGGGTGACATTAAAATAGAATAGAAAAAATTAATGTTGTTAGTTCAAAAGTTAATTAAAAAAAAGATTAAGACCAAGAGAAATTTTATAATACACAAGGAGTAATAAGTGGTATGTATAGTAATTACTCCTTGGATCCACTTTGAGGAGAGAGATAGACACACAAAAAGAGAGAGAGAAAAATAGGAGAGAGAAAATAAAAAAATTTGAGCAAACGTGAAAATCTTCTTATCACTTTTGGTGGATATAGATGTAATTTCTCTTTTTTATGTGTCTATCCTCTCTTCAAAGTGGATACGAGGAGTAACTACCGTACATTTCACTAGTTACTCCTTATGTATTATAAAATTTTACTAAGAGATACCAAAATCAAAGGTAAAAATATAAATTTAAGATGAAAACAAATAAAAAAAACACGATAAAAAATAAAATAAAAAAGTAGACTGTTAACTCATGCCTGAAGTGATAAAAAAATTCCATACAGGTGAGAGGTGAATGAGCCGGTCGCATTTCTCATCATCACTCATCAGCGCTCAAAATTAAAGTCAGGCAGTGGCATCATTAAATTAAACCTATGCGAAGACAAGTGGTCGACCCCGTGCCCGATCTGGTCAAGTTTTAACACTGATCACCCTAAATTCACGGCAACCCTATACATTGGGTCGTCACACCCTTGCATTCTGAAAATTTTCTACGACCTTGGATTGACATTTAATTTTCTTTAACCTTATTCGAAGAGATGGAAGGAAAATTTATGGAGATTTTTCATAAGCAATTTTTCTTATTGTACCAAATTAAAGAACAGCTGATCCTAAAAACTCAACTTAAGTTGCAAGGAAATGCCTCAGCAGTACTATACTATAGAGTAGTATTGACTAAATGTACGAAGACAGTTGTGATATAATGCTCTCCATGTGTCGTTCAGTCAAACTTAAAAAAACGAAGATCCTTTCCTAAACACAATTACACAAGACTTTCTGCAACAAAATCTCCATCAGGTGGGATTTACTCGTCCGTGTCTCATAGTGTATCCCACCTATCTTTTTTGCAAATAAACTTGGGACAAAGAATCACCCAATCTGCTCTGAACAAGCCTTGCACTGACCAAAAAAAAAAAAGTATCTTACTAAAAAGATCACTAGGCCTGTCGCCTATACCTGACAATAGCCGATACATGAGAAAAACAAACATCATATTGCCTTTGTGAAGAAAAATTTAGTATCCAATCTTTCGACACAAAAAATGCATCTAAACACTAAAAAAAAAAAAAACTCTATGTTACCTAAAAAGACATTAAACACTACACACAAGTCAGAAAATATATTATACACGATTTTCATTATAAAACCTATTAAGATTATATGCTCTCTATCGTCATATGGTGATTTAGTCATCGAAAGATTCACCTACACCCAAGACAAAGTATCTTTTGGGCATCCATCATCAACCAGCACTGCCCATGAAATTAATGCTCCATGTACAAATCAATGAGAGCACGAAATGAGGATATGATATCCTTTTCCGAGAAAAATTAACTGCAACGTAAATAAATGATGTTTGCAACAAGATTATATTATATTATACTACTATTACACTTCCACACGTCTAGGTAAAATTAATGCTCTTGTTGCTTATCCTAACTTGTTAATTACTCAACTTAGATGCAGCAACTAATAAAATAATTAATTAATCACAAAGGCTTTATGTAAGAGATGCCCAAAAATACATGTAGTTTAACTGTTGTTTATCTGACATCTTACTTTCAAAAAATAGATTTGATTTCAAATTACTTCAGTTCATAAAATTATCATTGTATAATGTTTACGAGGTTATTATCATGCAAGGAAAAAGAGATATTTCTCATCAAGCTATTAGGAAGAAATTTTAGAATAATTAAAACATAATCATCAATATTACAAAATGAATCCACTTTGAGTAAAAAAAAAAAAAAGATAACTATAGTGTGAAAAAAAAATCTCTGAATATAAGATATTTTCATCTAGTTTTAAAAATTATTATTTTTATTTCTCTCTCCTTTCTATATACGTTTAAGTAAAAATTAGTAATTACTATTTTAATACTCTTAAATTTTTGTTTTCATAGGTATTATGAATTTCGATCATGCGTTAACATTCAATTCTATATATCTTTATTCTCGCTTAAACCCAAGAAAAAGACTCGTTTTATAAATACTATCTCCACAATCGTCAATCCGTTAATCTCCCTTTTTGTTAGATCAGCTAAAGAAAAAACTAATCCATTCATCCATGATCTAAAATCTCATCAAGTTACACACTTGATTTGACAATTTTTGGCTAAAGTCATTGTATGTCCCTTTACCAAATGAATTTAATCACAATCAAATCTTATATGATAAATTTGGTCAAATCAACTTCTGTATTTTCTATTTGTAATATGCTGATCCTTCTATCAATTAATCAATTTAGTTATCCGACCATCTAATGTGTCACTCATTAGTGTAAGGTCAGATGACATTTTTTATATGATGAGATGAACAAAAAAATCTAAAATTTTTTAATGTTGATATTAAAAAGAAAGAATATTTAAATGATGAAATCAATAACCAAAATTGCTATTAAAAAACACGATCCCCTCCATCTAAAACAAAAACTATTCCCAAATCAGTTTTGACTAAATTCCTAATTGATTTTCACTAAATCCACAAATCAAATTCCATCCTAATTGAAACTCACCTCTACAAAAAATCCCACAAACATTTGCATCTCTACCGGTTGCCTAATTACACTTCGTTAGGATGTAGGCTTGTTTGGGGCTCTTTATTGCTTGTTGCTATGCTTAGAGGTGAGTTGGGTTTTGGCATTGATGCATTTATTCTTAGAATGCTAATAAAGCTTGAATTCACACTCTTCATGCAGTTGGATTATTTAGGTGTCACTTAATTTTGCTCTGAATGTGCTCAATATGTGATCTTTTAGAATAATGATCTTATTGTGCAGGGCTGTAGAGGCTTTATAACTACTATCACCTTTGATATTCAATGGTTTGCAGAGGATGGATAAGTTTTGTCCAACATCAATACCATCACTACTGCAGTAATTTAAGAATTACAGAGTTATTTTATGTTTTTACCTTCTCAATAATTCATCTATCCTGTGCAACTCTATGTCACTTTTCCAACAACTTTACGTCTTTACACCATTTATTGATACTTGAATGAGGGCTTGGGGCTAGTACTTGTCAAGGAATGGATAGGGGAAAGATAAATTTTTTTCGAACCGGAAGAATGTTCAAGAGAAAAGATGGATGACTTACCATCTATTTTGCAGTTTGGTTACCAAGGAAAGAGAGCAAATGTGAGTCAATTTATCTAAATTGAAAGTATTAAAAATTATAAAGAAAATAAATAATAAGACTCAATCTATTCAAATTAGATGAATTGAAAATTTTACGAAAGGTAAATTATTTTATCGTTTTTCCTTTGCATCTTTTCATATTACTCGATCCATCCTTCTTTCTATCCGTTCCTCCTGTCAAACACACTCTAAATCAAATTTTAGAAGCTTTTTTGTTGCTCAATGCTTCATTATTTACTTTCGATATTTGTTGAATTCATCACTCTGTCTGTTAAGAGGGACAGGGGACGGGTGGATGCAAGGAGAAAGATTGGAAAGGAAGGATTGTGTGTTTTCTTTATTTGGCAAAAAGAATAACGTTTAATAGGAATTGTGAGAAGGGTTTTCTCATTAGGAATTTTAGAATTGGGAGCTTTTGCTATTTTGATGGAAGGGGTGAAGTTTTAGAAGAGTTATGAAGGTGAGACTTTGGTTCTTTTTATTATGCAACCTTAAAATCCTTTTTAAAATTTTATTTTTTGATTGAGTATAATGTTAAATATATCTTTATATAATTACTCAAGTCTTGGAATTTGTGCTTTTCTTTCTAATTGTGTATATTATATTTCTATATAATATCTAACTCTTTAATATGTTATTCTACAAGTTTTTCTATCTAAATGGACATAATTATATTTTTCATTCTAAAACTACCATTGTAATGAAGCCATAATTTCTCAGTTTGTTTGAATGATTGGATGTATTTTCTTCTTAATTGATTGCGTGGTTGAGATTTGTTAATGTATTAAAATTTTTATGATGAGTACTTGCGAAATAAAATCCTCTTCTTGGATTTTTGAAAGACTATTCAAAAGCTAAGTTAATATATAAAGAAAGATGACAATTTTGATTGAAAAGTCTATTATGTTCTTATAACTCAATGACAATTTTGAAATAAAAAGTATAATTTTATTAGTTTGAATGAAAATTTTTGATTGAAGAACATACTGAAAAACTTGATACTATAAAATGATATAATAGAAACAATTAAAAAAAATATAGACATTAAAAACTTATCTAATTATATATAATAAATTGAGTTATTTATTCTTTTCAATTTCATCCTATATATAAAAAAAAAAATTGCGATCTCATCTCGCATTAATGGGTGGCATTTTCCATGATCAGAATCATTGACCTGATCAATCTAACAGCACTAACGAGCACCGGGTTTTATTGATCCAAAATTGAAAATATGAGAACTGATTTGACCAAATTTATTGTCGAGTTAATTTGACCAGGACATCCGGCATATTTATCAGGAATTTTTTAAATGGAACTCGATTTTTGTGTCATATGTTTTGACTAAGTTGAATCTAAAGTTTTACAGTAACTCGTTAATAACTTTGTCTTATCTAGTTGACTCTTACTGTCAGAGTCACAGACACTCTGTCTTGGGATCACAATTCACATACGGGAACCAAGAACCAATCCAAAACAATGCTGGGTAGCAGAGAGGGCATACAGTTTCTGGAGAGACAGGCTGATCTAAATATTTCAGCATCAAGAGTGTAGAAAGGTTTTCAGCTGAAAATTTCGGCTTTTGGAGTTGTTCTTGTCCTGACAAGTCGTGAATGAGAAACCACAAAACCGGACTAAAACAATCAGAATGGGCTGCACCCACTACAGCCTAAGCAAATTACATTTTTAGTGTTTTATCTGCATCCAGAAGAGAATAGCAGCCTCAAACACCAAATTCAGAATAAATGCAACTGTGGCAAGCATAAAACTGGAAAACAATCTGATTATAACATTCAGCATGTGTATTTTGATAATTTTGGGAACTAATTCAGTTAAGCATAAACAATCAAGACAGATGTAACCCCAAAAAAAACATACACACAAGTACAGGCTTTCACAAAGCAGGGTGCCAACGGTACTTACAGAGCCAATATCCTAAAATGAAAAAATTGATGCTTAACCTGGATCTTCTGACGTTTCCGCCTGGGTTGTTGAACACTCAGAATCCATGTGATGTGCTATTGCAGCGCAGTTAACCTATCAACATACATTACCTGATTTAGAAGTTGTCTTATCACAGAGATGCTAGCCAAGTTTCTTCCAAGCATATAATTGGTTGAAGGAACAGAAATACCAGGTGTCTAACATCCAATATGGAACAACTAGAATGGATCTCAGCCTTAAAGCATCCAAAGGGCTTGCCATTGCATAGAATAGTATCTCATACCTTTGCATTGTTTACTGAAATGTTTGGACTGTTAGCTGCAGACTGAAGGTCAGAGCAAGGTGACTGCAAGGGAGAACATATGGGCTGCCAATGAGTTATCGAGAAAAAAAAAAAATTATGTTGCTATTTTACTTCAGTACTAGTTCGTAAAACTATTGATTTCCAACAACTACTTGCCTCTGACACGCTGGCGTTTAAATGATTGTTATCTTGCAAGATGTTACCGTCTGAATCATGCTCCCAACCTTCCAGTGAAAATGAATGAAAATTTGGCAAAACTCATGCTAGCTGTAGCCATTAATGTGAGAAAGAATTCCATGCATGTCTATTTTCAAGGTGCACTGCATATTCATTTCATTAGAACGCATACAGAATTGTCGAAGTTCATGTCTCCCAAGGATTTTGAATATAAACAACAGATAATTCCCTCTTCTTGGAATTATAAGACTTATGTTTCAACTTTCTAATACCATGCATCCATGCTGTCTCCATTCTACGAGTTTCTACTGCAGAAACAGAATTACCATTGAACAGAAAAATGACATGGACTCATCATTTCTTTTTTTTACAAAAAATTCATTGCATGCCTTTAATAAACTAAGCAAATGGGTGCTTCCGCAATTATTATATATTACTCTCTTTTTTTAAAAAAAAAAGTTACATAGTAGATGATTCCTTAATTCTTATATGAAAGTAACCAACCAAATTCAGCCAATATCTGTAGTGGAAAAGGAAACATGTGAGAGGAAGAACAATATTCAAACAAAACCACATCTTCTATACCAACCACCTGGTGGTGACAGAAATAAATTTCCACCATGATACCAACAAGTTTAGCTTATCTTCTCAAGATGTTAAATCTTCTTTCAGAATGCATGCCCAGACTATAGCTTACAGGTCTATGTGTAAGGTAACAATATGAACGTCCATTTACATGTCAGCTACCAAATAACCAAGCGCTATAGCAGAAAACATCAGAGAAGGAAGAAGAAACCTCGATTTTCTCCTATGCCCATACTGGAAGCTTTGTTTGGACATGGTTCTCCACTGTTCTGAACCAAGTCCTCGACCCTAGTCAGTCAATTACAGCATACATGTTGTTACAAGTAAGAAATAGCTTCCAGGAGTTGTCCAAGGCTATAATCAGCTTTTTAACACTCTGCCGTAAGTGCACATATTCCGACCATCAAATAAATAAATCTACTCTATGAGGTTTTTCAACTGGGAGAAAGATTGTTTTGATGGGTTTTACTGCAGACACTTTTTGCTTCCATAATACAGCGTGTTAATTACTTAAAAAAAGAAAATTATTCCATAACTTGGACAATTACCTGTCAGTACCTTCCTCTGTCATGATCATATCACAGTCTTCTTGGCACTCTAGTAAGGAGGAGAATATCTTTTTATCCTGCCATAGAAGTAAGGTTTATCTCAACAAAGAAGCAAATGAAATCGAGCTAGTCCAAAATTTAAATACAATGTTATCTGCTGAAAGTCCCTAGACGTATCACAAGGTGCATAATCATAAGAGTTGTGAGGTTATAGCAGAAAACACATGTTCACTTAGATTGACTTATTGAACAGTTATAGCAACATATTGAGTTTGGCATGCTAGAAGAAGCTTTGGTCAACAGCTGAACAATGTTAACAATACAACAGTCAAGGTGGTCAATTTAAATCTACAAATAGATATTTATAGGGAGCAGTAAGATTTTAGATTAGCACTTCACACATATGTCGTAATAATAGTAAGTTGTGTGTAACTATAAGATATTTTACCATCAACAAAGTACTAAAAGCATTCATCATAATATTGGATAGGTTCTTAGGAATAGGATTGAAACAGAAACAGCTTTAACTTGAGCAGAATCATTTAGCGAAGTAGAAAATGGAATCTTTAGCTAACCTGTTCATTCATATTTACAACAGTCTCCTGAATCTTCTGTAGTATTATTGCTAAACTCCTCACTTCACAATGCAATGCCTGATTATAAATTATTCAAAAAAGCATTGAGAAACCAATATGCATTAATGAGTAGAGTCAAATAAGCAGCCAACAGTTTCAACCTCTTTCTCAGAAATTAGATTTTGAATGACTGCATCCTTTGCAAATAGAGTTTTCTCAAGGTGAGGCTGATTAAGGAAGCTCATAAAAAATATATTTGGCTAAATTTCAACGACAGAAAAACAGAATCAAGAGAGATATGCAATGCTTAAATGGATATCTCTTCTCTTTGAGTTTCACAACTGTTATTAAGTTTTGCCGCTTCCAGCTGCTCTTCTAGCTCTGAAATGATTCTGTCCTTTCTTCGGAAGTCTTCTTCATCATTTTTTAATCTATTTTCCAAATTTCGGATCTTTTCTGCAAAAAGCAAAGTGAATTTAGCTCTATCAAGTTATAGCTGGATCTTGAAAAGCTATGTTACTTGGAATTAAAAAAATACCCAGAAAATTGATATACTCTGATTCTCAGATCATGACTGACATTGTGTTAACATTGATAGGAAAACTCAGTCCTGATCTTTCAACTATTGTCAATCCTGAACTGAATGAGGATCTATCTCTCCCATGCGGTTCTGTAATGAACTAATCTTTATGCAAGTTGGTACAAAACTAATCATTATTTATCACTTCAACCACCTCATGTTTGATCTACCCCGTCTTTCCCCTTGCTCTCAATAGATTTTGATTGCCCATTGGTGCATCCGTAAGCTGACTTTTGATATGACCTAAACATTTCAAACAGTCCTCCCTTAACCTATCCTCAATAGGTATCAATCTGAGTCTACCATGAATGAACTCTTGTGTCATCCAGTACATCTATCTTCACATCTTAACCCAAACACACTCATCTTACGAATAACACATTTTACTGTCAAGCACTCACTAGGATAGAGCACAGCCAATCTAATAGCAATTTGATTAAATTTACCCTTCAGCAAGTTGGAAATTGACAAATTCCAGTTTGGTTAAGGGGGAAATAATTACAAAGGATGATCAGCAAGTATGAGGTCCGAGCATATGCTAATTACATTTTCATACAATCTAACGCAAAGTTATTAATGAGGGAAGGTAAAAGAGAATTTGGACTTACCAAAAAATACTTTTTCAAAAGCAGAAACCTTGTCCATCTTGCTCCTCAAGCCAGCCACTGAAATTTGCAAACAAGCTAACAGCACTCTTAACACTATTACAACTTTCAATAACTCACATATGGTCCATCCATTCCAGGAATCCAAACATTGAATACAATACAACTTGACTAACCTACTTCCTCTTTTTCACTAACAAGGAGTTGCACTCTATCCACAAGTTGCTTGATAGAGAAAGCCTCCCTTTCTATGGAATCAAATAAAGATAGATGAGAGTTTATCTTCTCTGATACGACAATGAGCTTTCTATTACTGGCTTCAATCGAACGTTTCATTTCGCAAGTCGATTCCTGCTCATAAATCCCTCTTCCGTGTTAAAGAAACACAGAATGCATGCTTGATGTTTGTTTAACAAACCAAAAACAGACCTGGTAAGAGTTTACAAAACTTTCTCTCGATTGAAGCAGGCTTTGTATTGTTCCCTTCAGTTCTTTGTGCTTGTTTTCGAGCAACGCGTTATCATTTTGAAGGTAACTCACCTAGATCAGTATCTAAGGAGGTTAGTAATTTCTACAAACATGTAGAGTGCCAAAAAAGAAAAAGAAAGCAAGATTGGTGAACCTTCTTTTGAAGCTTTTGGCGCAGTTCATTGGAGGAAGCCAACTCCGATTGTAATTCCTGCAACTGCCTGCAGTACTCCTCCTCTGTTTGCTTCTGTCTCTGAATTAGAATTCGGCATTGTTCGGTGGCCGACTGTTCTCTCTCCTATTTTAAGTTGCATTAAGAAAGAAACAGAAACGATTAGAGAGAGATGAGAAGAGAGACGCCAAGAAATGAAACGGTGAAAGAAAGTCTGACCCTGAGATCTCCAACCTCGGTGGCTAGGGCTTTAAGCTGGAGCTTGAATTTCGACAGTTTGAGCAACTCCATTTTCCCTCCAAAATTTGCTTAACCATTAAAATGTCAATCCTGGCAATATCGGTTCGCTTCATGTTGCTCCAAACGAACATATTCCAGAACGGGTAATGGTTGTAGACCTGTAGTTGCCCTTTTCCGTTTGAGTTAAATATAACTAAGTCCTATACTTTAACAAATTCAATTGAATAGTTCTCGTGCTCTTTTCCATTTTTAATTTTTTGAGAAATAGAAAAAAGAGAAGAGAAGTGGATAAGGTAGGAAACTTTTATGAGGAGAGAAGGTATTTTTGAAAAACAAATTACTAAATAGAGAATGTTCAACACTAGTCAAGAGACTGTTTAATTATTTTTTATACTATTAGGATTAATCAATTAGTTTTGATACATTGTAAGGACTAAGCTATACTTTGCTCTTGCATTTCCCTTTTTTAAAAAAACAAAAAAAAAAACTTTCCTTCAAGAAAACCCGAAAAAGAAAGTTAACTATAACTTACCTCATAGTTCAATAAAATTAATTAACTGGATAATACTTTTAAGAAACTATATATATATATATTGGTACAAGCGAAATAAAGACACAGAAGCAGCAAAGCTTGAAGGAGGATGATGCCAAACCTGAAGAGGCATTCTTCTGGAAAGAAAATTAACTTGACGATTTCCTTCTTTTAAAATACGGTTGAGAGAAACTATTTATTGACATTAACATAAACATCGTTTATAAAAAATAATTTTATAATTAAAAATGAGTATTTGAGACTATGTTATAATTAAATTGACGTATGCCTTGGCCGGATCAATTTTTAAAGCCAGCGAGCCTAGTTTTTTTCTAAAACGTCGAATAATATGCATGAGCTCTTAAGCTAACACTATGTTGTCTGTTTCTGTTCGCCTAGAGATAAAGGCATTATGAAGAAGGATAATTAGCTGATCCAACAAAGATAAATTTTTTGAACCAGAACTTTAATGAGGATCTGGTAGCTAATATTCTAAAGACTTATGGGCCTAAATTACTTCATGCAAGTTAACTGGATTTTTTTATTATAGGATCAGAACAACAGAGGTTTCGAGTAGCTGAGTAGGACAAGCACCCATGTTAAAAGCTTCTTACGCCATCTGAAAAAATGAATCTCTAACGAGCCAAAACTTTTGATTAAAAAAAAAACCTAGCTGAAAACCATCCATACCAGGAACTTTATACGGTTTCGTGGATTTAATGGCAGAAAACACCTCAGCTTTAGTAATGAGTCATAATAAGTCTGCCACCTGATCTTGACTAAGCATGGGGTGATGTTCGAAGGAAGAAAAAAGTAGCACAATGTCATTAGTTATTCATTATAAATTGTGAAAGAAAGTTAATATCTCTTTTTTTAACAGCTCCAACATCAGACATAGGGATGATAATATATCAAGTATAAAACAAATATTTATTTTATCCGATATAATAATATCAATTTTTAATTTTTAATGAATATTAAAATAAATAAAAATAAAAAATACATACTTATTTATATGATTTTAGGATATGAATACTCACTCTTTACCTTATTAATATATACTAATTTATTTAGATTTTTTTATTAATATGTAGAAATCTAATTGTATAAAATTTAAAATTTAAGGATCAAAATATTTTTTTCAAAAACTTTGAGAAACAAAAAAAAAACTTAGAAATAAATGACTAAAATGCAAAAAATATATCTTTTAAGGATAAAAAATTATTCCTTAAAAATTATAGGGACTGAAATGAATATTTTTTTATAAATTAAATTTAGTGAGTATTTAATAGGTATTAAATTGACAGATAAATTAGTATGGGTTGGGTATGGACTAGGTAAAAATTTGTATAGTGATTTCTTAAGAGATAATGTGTAGGGTATTTTTTTGATGAATAGAATAAAAAATTAAACTAATGAGCTTAGTACCCGTCCATTACCATCCCTACCCAAACACTCTAAAGCCATCATGTAATGAAAGCCTCTTAATTTTATTTTCCTTATATCAACAGTTGTTGTACGAAAGAAACAAGTACATCTTTCACCACCACATCATAAATTTTTACACCAAAAAATCTCTTTCTTGTCTTAAGATATCATTATACTCATTTTGCAACACAACCTCAAATATTAGTTAGGAAACTATAATGATGAGAAGCCTATGATCGTTGAACAACTATAATTCCGGCAAGGATTCACCTTTTCCTCTAGAAAATATTCCTAAAAACTTTATATATTGAAAGATATGGTGGCATCAGTCATAGCTAAAATAGATTTAACAACGAAAATTCAAACCAATCTATGTGCATTACCAAAATTTCGTTAAATAGAAACATAAATTAACGATGGACATACGTTCATCGTTAAATAAAAAATAAATAGCGACAAAATAGTCACCGTTATAATCGGTAACGGTTTATTAACGATCAACACTAATTCACTTCTAAATTTGGTGATAAAATATTTTTGAGAGTTTTAGATGCGGTTTAACGATGGATTTGCTAGGAAAAAATAGCAATGAAATGGCATATCCATCGTTATTTCAATGTCATGATTTAGCGACGGATATTTCACCTATAAAGGGCACATCCCTTGCAATTTAGCGATAAAAAAATCCGTTGCTAAAGATGAGAATTTGGACAAAATTAGACGAGACTTTTTCAAAGATAAAATTGCCTAATTTGCAACGGATTAGCGACGGACAATCGCCAAATCTATAACAAATTAGCAACGGACATTTAAGTTCGTTGCTATATGTTGAAAAATGGACAACGAGCTATGCAAAATAGGTTGCCAATTTTGGCATGGATCGAGCAATGAACGTACGTGTTCGTCTCTAAATAGTAACAAATCGGCAAAAGGATCGCGTCCATAGCTATTTTTCTAACTCTAATTTAACCCCCTTCTTCTTCATCCTCCCCAATTTTCTTTTCCTTTTCCTTATGTAGCCGTAGCCGCCATTCTCTCTTCCCCTCCAAACCGCCACAAAACTCCACTCCCCCACTCTCAATCGATCCACACCCACTCCAAGGTGTTTTATCTCAAAAAAATCTGTATTTTTTCTTCCCTCCACTTGTTGTGATTCCACCCGATTTAGGGTTTTTTTTCTTTTTTATTTTCTTAATTAAGGTTGATAATTTTTTATAATTGTTAGGTTAATTTAAGTTTAATTACTTTATTTATGATTGTGTATATATTTAATTGTCATTTTGTTAATTTATTTGTTAAATTATTAATTTTTAATTGCTAGGTTAATTGGTTGATTAATTTGTTAAATTTTATTAATTGTTAGGTTAATTATTTGATAGCTTATATCCTTTTGACATTTACGCTTGTCATATCTACAAGACATTTCGTAAGCATGTTGACATATTCGTATCGACGTGAAAGTCAATTAGTGAGGAAACGAAAGAGTTATATTAGGGAGAGTTTAACATAGTCTTTTGCTTAATTTATTACATGATTGTACATTTCAATTAAGAAACATTAATATTAATTTAAATGTACTAATGAATATTTTTAAGGTTCTCACGAAGTCCTTTAAATGGGAGCGAGATATCGAGATAAGCATAAAGAAAGCATGGCGAGTTTGGCATGGAAGCGATATTCTAACTTCCTTTATCGGGTAAAGAATTACTCCAAACCAACATATATCTCATAAGAGATATGGAATGCATGACATAAGGAATGGGCAAAACCCGAGTCTCGTACTTGATTTGAGTAAATAGCCCATAACCGCAAGAGCGAGATAGGTGGCATCGGAGTTGGCTCATCTAGAATATAGGGGGTTCGATCACCCATAAGGAGCACACAATATGCATGGTAAATTTGACACACACACACACACACACACACACACATATATTATTTGTTATTTACAATTATTGCAACATCGATAAATATTTAAGTATATTTTTTTAGCATAATGAGTTGGGTCGTAAACCCGATGCCTATGAGGTTTTCTTGAGGATACATAGGAAGAAAGTTCATGATACGTACATATTTATCGATTATTCCTAGCATTTATGTTTTCTTTTTTCAAAAATATTGATAAACTTTAAAATAATTTGATGTTTGAATATATATTTTATTTTATTTTATATATTATACGGGTTTCGTAATATTTATAAATCTGTTTCATAGCGTTATTGTAGTTGTTGAATTGGAATGGATTTTATTTTTTCTTATTATCGATTAAATAAATAATTGAATTTTTTTTTAAAAAAGGGAACAAATTCAGCAATCATTTTTCAATAGTCGCTAATCTAAAATTTAGCGACGGTTTTCATTAAATAGTCGGTAAAAGTGTTACTAATTAGAGACGAATTTAGCAACATATTTTGAAAATAGTTGCTAAATTGTTCATTTTTAGCTAGGGATTTAACAACGGTTTAACAAAATCGTCACTAAATCAACAACCAATTCGAGATGGAATTGGATGTTTTAGCAACGATATAAAAAAATTGTCATGAATTTTTTAGTGAAGAGGTCTTTTTGAATGATTTTATACGCTCGCTAAAAAATTTTAGCGACGATTTTTTGAGAATTAGCTATAGTTTAAATCATCACTAAATTCTCTGTTTTTGGTGGTGAAACCATCCTTGAATAAATGGTTTCGACTTGTATACTCCTTTTTTCCTTTTTTGTTTTCTCTCTTTTATATTTTAGTTTCCACAAATTCAGCAATATAACACCTTTGCTCTCTTGTTTAAAGTTCTGAAATTTTAATTTTATAGTTTTCTAAAAAGTTTCAACATGCTTCAATCATTAATTAAATAGTTAGCAAAGACTTTGAGAAGGCTCGTTAATTTTTTTTTCTTAAAAAAAATCATAAGAAGGATACAAGATGCAAATCTAAAAACAGAAAAAAAAACTAATAAAAATTATAAAATTGACAGTCATGAATTCGAAAACAGATTGAGACTAAATTTTTAAAAATCTTTGTTATTTGATAATGCATTTATTTGTCACAAATAGATTCCAAACAAGAAAATGGAGAAAAAAATTGGAATCGGGGAAA